AGTGATGGTCGGCTTTTCCACTTAAATTTGGAAAACAACTTAAGAAAACTTTTTTTGTATTTTTAAAATGTTAATAGGAAGTTCATCTTTTATATTTTGTTTTAAAAAGTGCACGTGAATGTTTAAAATATGAAGCTTCACAAAGTAGTGAAAGATAGAGATTTAATAAAAGAAGAACACGGAAAGATGAAAAGAATACGGAAATATTTACTATTGTATTCGTTTGGTAACCAAATCTCTTTTATCAGAAGTAACTTGATGAAAGGGATAAAGAAGAGAGCAATTATTTTCAAAATGAGATTTCTCAATTACACCTTCTTCAAATGTAATTTTCTCCTATCTCGATGATTTTGCAAACATTTTGTAACTCCCTGAAGATTTGCTAATGCATCTTGGTATATTGAACGAAAGCTAAATAAGGATTCGAGTGCTCATATGCGAAATTATATTTCAGTGGAGCCATATTCACGACTACTACTCTTATGTGAATTTCAAACAACATGGAGTAGATTTACATTCATCCCATACCAGATGTCAAATATTACCAGATGGAAGGCGATATTAATTTTTTTCCAAATCTACAGTGACTTTATTTTCCGAAATAAAGTAACAGTTCCATAAAATTTTTCAGAACTTGAATGCACAAGAAAAGAAATTTTTGTTATTTCAAATCCCACTTAACTGTGCAGCTGAACAGTTTTGCCTGAAGAGCGTTTTTAAATGGAAGGAAGCAATTACTGCAAACACAGATCATATAAAACGCAAATATCAGGAGAAGAGATCAGGAGATATCAAATATGCAAATCAAAATTATAACTTAAATTGGCAATAGCCCCTTACTTCTTCATAGTCAATAAATATATATATATATATATATATAAGATAAAAATATGTATCATAAACTTAAATGGCAGCCCCTTACTTCTTCATAGTATATTATATATATATATATATAAGATAAAAAATATGTAAATCAAAATTATAACTTAAATTGCAATAGCCCCTTACTTCTTCATAGTAATATATATATATATATATATATAAGATAAAAAATATGTAAATCAAAATTATATCTTAAATTAGCCATATCCTGTTACTTACTGAGGTATATTCCTTTTCGTTTCTGAAAATATCCATTCCTTATAATAACCTTTTCTGGATTACAGTATTTCTAGATTAATCCATCTCATATGACTTTTACCTAACGATGATGATGTTATTAATTCGGAACTCAAAATTTCCAGAATCGAAACCTTTCTGTTAAACTAAGCTTCCATACTGACTAACAACGTACTTACTTTCGGCACCTCGGGCTAGTTAGACATATTTCGGATAAGTATTTCTGACGTTTCTATCGACAGACGATTTCTTATTGGCGCTTAAGAGATCCATACCTCATTCGGGCCGCCATTCAGTTATATATGCAGTCAATGCAGCAAACCGAACCTGAAATATTTTTAAAAAATGACAATCTAGAAAGATTATAAACAACAGTTTCTCCTGTTACTTGGAGATTCATTCCTCCAACAACTCCTTGGTGGAGTGGGTTTTAGGAGTCGTTTATTGGCTTTCCAAACCGAATTCTGAAAAAAACATTTTAAGGAGAGTGTTATTAAATTATTAAGAGACGGAAACTGTTCTCAGTGATTGTGCGGGCCAATTAAATGCTGGACCTCTAACCTGTGTCATTGAAGATCTAGAGGACTTAAACCCATTAACACCTAATTTATTTTTGACAGAAAATCGTCTAAATATTACTACTGATTTTGATCAGATAAAATCTTTTAACTAAGACTTAAAAAATATATTAGTTTATAGAAAAGATCTGACGTCAGATCTTTGTGTCGGGTTTCGAAATGAATATTGGGGCTTTAAAGAACAGCAGCTAGAAACAGAGTTTATATACTTACGTTGAAGATATCGGTTCAATCAGGACTGATAAGCTAAAAAGGCTGTGTTGGTCTTTACGAAGACTATTATAGATCTAGACTAGCTATGATTGAGTAGGAAGAACCTCGAAAATTGTAATTAAAGTAGGACTTATGACTAGGCCCATCAAAGATCCTCATCCCTCATACGGATAAAGTAATGAGTTCTGGTTCAATGCTTCCGAAGCTCAAGAAACGGGAGTGTTAAAAACAGTCTTACAAACTTACCCCAGAATTATTGCATGCGAGAAGCGCGCTTAACCTCAGCCTTCTTCTGGCACGAGTTTTGATTCAAGGTTTAGATTTTTCCAAAAAAATCTACATAAAAGAAGAAAGGGAGGTTAGGGCGACGGATAAATATGTACTTAATGTTAAAGACTAATTTTGTAACTTATTACTAGTGTTATGTTTAATAAGTTTAGCGTTTTAGTAAGACGCATTCTCTTTATTTCTAGATTACGTTTTTAGTATAACAATTTAATGTAAGGCGAGCAGTTACTCCGGGAAGAAAAGGTAGGCTAAGTTTGATATTTCAAGTGAAATAAAATTGACTATCTTTAAAAAGATAAAAAATGAATAAGTTAATTGTTAATGCACTTCTAGGGATCTCATGATCCGTTGTTCTAACTAGCATAGGTAAAAATGCTCCGTTATATATTATTGCAGCTGGTCAACTGTAGAAAGAAAGATTTTGCTATGCTTTGGGACACCACGTGTAAAGCTATTGTTGAGATATAGTTTCTTGAAAGATTTCAGTGTCAACCTTTAGTTGTGCCATGATTTCTATGACATTGCTGGTTGCTGAGTTGTATCTTTGTTACACTGAATTAGCTTTAACTCATCTAATCTGTTTGTCCACGATATCCTTTTCTGATTAAATTTGGACGAAGGGTCTGGGATCCTGTAAAATTTTCTTCTGTGTGTGATTAGGCAAGTTTTGAAGAGGCAATGTAGTCTGGGAGGTCGCTTTCCTCCTATTCCGTATTACTCGAATGAAGGAGTTTTCGTTGATATTCGAAGTTGGTAAAATTGCTGTGAGTGTGGTTGCAGCAGGAATTAGGTTGTGTGCTTCTATGCTATGTGATTCTTTTAACTGTCATTCTAGCCTGGCTATTTGAAGATCTTGCTCACTTAAAAAGTTACGAATCTTGATAACTTAGCGCTTAAATTCTTTAGTTTCATATATATTTAATTTATATTTTCCGTTTCTGTTTGATATTTAGGAGAGGATGTTATCGCAAACTTTTCTAGTTGCAACTGCATTGAAGACTTCACTAAAGCGTTTATGCTATTGAAGATGGAGAAACAGAAGCTGTATTAGTGGAAGGAACCAAAGCACTGGAATTCGCAGAGAAGACTATTTTTAGCCAGAATGCAGATCTATTTTCGGCTCCAACTCACCTATTCATTTCACCTGTGGGTCAAATAAAATAACTTTCAAATAAATATAACTTTTCAAATAAAAGGATGCTGCCATCAAATGCTATTGATATTTATTATTTAAAAAAATAACACAGAAAATATAGCGAATATAAAAAAAGAATTAGGGCAGCATTTAACAATATTGGAAATTCTCAATAAAAGTTGCATTTAAAGATTTTGTGATTTTATTGTAAAATTTATGTGGTGCAAGTGAAAATAAAGTGATGTTTAATAACTAAACTAAAGTGACAAATAAGAAAGTTGTCATCTTATTAAGAAATCTGAACGCTGGCATCATGAACTGAGAAAAGGCTATAAAAACACGTATAGCAACACTTACCACGCTAACGAGAATTCCAAAACTTTGCTGTTTTTTTTAAAAAAAATATTCTGATGGCTAAGTCGCTGATTCGAGAATTCGAAACACAATGTAACCAGAGTATATACTACGATTGACTCGGTAATTTTAAATGAAAACATGAGAATGATTGCGTACATGACCACGTACAGTTATCATTTCCCATGGAAGAATACAATAATAATAATAATAATAATAATAATAATAATAATAAAAATTAAAAAAAAAAAAACTAGCAATGTTTTTAACTAAAATTGAACCATGAAGTTTCTAAACATATTAGATTTTTCTTACAAACGATCAACCCGTTCCATGTTTTAAATAGCAACAAGCTTTAAGAAGTGTATCCCTTGATAGTTTACTTAAACATCCTTATTTTTTAAAATGTGCAATTCGTAGGAAGTCATATACTGGCCACATTAGAGTTTTTCGTTTGTTTTACTGATGCATGCAATGTTAACTCATTTTTCTAAGTCCTGTGTTACATATTTGCGGTACACAGGAAGCCTGTGTATGCTCAAAATAAATAAATGAAAATGTATTTAAAAAGTATTTGTAAGAGCAGGATTTCAGTTTCAGTCTTAAGCCTTTCAGAGATATAAAGAATTTAAATTGTGGCAACAGTTTACATGAGTTGTATTTTATTAACCCTAAGAATACAATATTGAAGTATAAGGTATTTCTCCCGCCTTCCTAGCGTACCTTCGTGGTGTAGTGGTTCTGCACGCTGGGTCGGTGTTCCAGAGGTCCGTGGTTCGATTCCCGGCGAAGGCGATTGCTAAGTTTCATCTTGCCTGCTTCCAAAAAGTGCCTAATGTCTCTACAGAAGCTTAAAAATTCTACGGTGAAATCCTGCCAATAGATGTTTTATACCACTGCCCCTGTATGACACTTTTTCCCATGTAGCTGACAACCGTTAATATTTTTTTAATCTATATTTTGCATACTTTTGATGTATATCTATAAAAATTAGTGCTCGAATGTAGTTATGTAGTTATTTAAGTTAAGAGTGGAAAATATTCGGAATTTCTATAGAAATTTAAAATTTTAGAAATAAATTTTATATACTTTGATGATGCTACACAATTGAATATATTTATGTAAAATATTGAAAAAAGGTTTAAAAGTGATTTCTATTCAATATTATTATTTTGTCAAACAAATATATCTTTGCATGCGTAAAGTGTATCACACTGCAACTAAACTAACATTATATTACAGGGATATGTAACTAAGTTGAAATATTTACTTCTCTAATGTTATTACATTGTATTCTACATTTTATTCTTTAGATAATATATAAAAGAAACATGCTCCTTGCTGTGATACCAATAACTACCCCCCTCGCACTCTTTCGATTATGGAGCCCCCGAGTCCTGTAAGTGCCCCTTTATAATTTTTTGTAAATATGGTTGTAGTATTTCTGACGTTTTATAATTATAGATTATATTATTTCTAATTGTAGGTAAATTATTTCTAATGCATGAGAAGCGCCTGGCTGCTCTTAGATACCTTCAGCATGACTTTACTTCTCATCTTATTTTGACTTATATGAGATATACTTCCCTTTACTATTTTTTGCTGGTATTTCTCTTCATATGAAATATTAGATACGCCAAGATCGTATCTATCAAAGTGAAGCTCTTCAAGAACAGTAAGTGCTTTCTCCACAGAAATTCTTCTTACAGGCATTTTCTTATAAACACTTAACCGCCCTTCAAAAGTCATATATTAGCTTCTTTTTTTTATTCCAAAGATAAATGTTTTGAGTTCTTTAGTCTCTTATCTGAAAATTACAATAAAATAATTCCCTAAAAGCTTGCTTTCAAATGATCTGAAATACGTTCTTTTTCTCCGTGTTTGTAACTGAACTTTACTCTTATTATAACCCCGCTGTGGACGCAGCATGATCACTTAGCCATCAATCACCTCTTTTCACCCCTACCAGCATGTGACATTTCTATGCCAGACGGCAATTTTGAAAAGGGCGAGTTTTTTCTGGCGAGAAAGGTGAAGTGGTAAAATTGAAAGTTAAGCTAAACAGAGAATTGGCTGAAGTAAAAAAAGGATGAGAAAAAACTGAAATACTTTTATTCATTCCTAACTTTTATTCTTCCCTAAATGAATATGCATTTTCCTTATGTAATGGTACTTCCAATTCAGAATCACCCTGTGCGTATAATAATATGACGAAATTCAAGCTACACAGAGAAGAAATTCAAGACAACAGAGACCAAACTCAAGCTAAACAGAGAACTCGACTGAAGTAAGCAAAGGATAAGAAAAAAAAACTGAAATATTTTTATTCATTCCTAGCACAGGGTCAGTAAACACTTCCTAGCACAGGGTCAGTAAATACGAGGACCTCGTATAAAGGTCCAGTATGTGTATGTCATATATTTGGGAGAATTTTGAATTTCCCCCTCCTCTAGTACAATTTACCACTCTTTAAACATGAGACCTTTAAATCAGATACATTAATGTGACAACTGCAAAATATTGAGCATTCAAAGGTTAATGCTACCATTTAGATTCAAAAGAAAATACTAGGAACTCAAGATTGTAGCTTTTAGTGTAAAAGAATTGAAACTTTTAGCCAGTTAAAAAACTGAGAAACTTCCAGTATATTTTAGATAACCGTGCCCTAGACAATTGCACTGTATTAGTGACAGAAAGTTTAATACATTGGGGGTACATACAGAAAGTTTAATACATTGGGGGTACATACAGAAAGTTTAATACATTGGTACGCAGGATAATTAGCGTGTAATATTGTTTTCTTATGCATAGTACCATGCGTGAAATTACATGAATAACGCATGCGTTTAAATATACGTTGATTATTTAGTCATAAAAGCTCTATTTAAATAGTCACAAGCTGCATGTGAATAACAGTGAGAAATGAAGTTATAAGGTATTTTTCCCTCCTTCTTTTGGGGTGTAAATGGAAACCCGCTCGAAGCGCATTCGGGAGGTCCGGAGTTCGAATCTCGGGAAGGGCATCGCGGATTTCTTTAGTTTCTTGGCTTCAAAAGAAATTCTAAATGATTCTACTAGTGGCGCCCGGACTAAAAGGTGGTGGAAATATAATTCATCACCCCCAAGATTTGGTAACTGTGTCTTCTTATCGCCAGTAGCTGTTTTAAAGGGGGAGTAGTATAAGGTATTTTCTACCGCCTCGTCGCATGTCTCCATGGTTTAACTGGAAGCACACTCGACGCTTATTCGAGAAGTTATGAATAAATTATTAGATCACAGTATGCAGGTGCATTATAGTATGTGGATTAAAGACATATACAGGCAATAATAAGTATACTTTATTGTGGAACATTTTGGAGTTAAGCATGAGACTACCACAGCTGTCTGCCGGCTGACATAAAAGTAATTGCATACAGAGTTTTGCAAATTTATTGGATAAGATTCCGATGTAGAACTGCATAAACTCTATAAAAATAAATACGTCTTGCAGTACACTGAATGTTCTGAGGAGTTGTCAATGTATTGTATGGGGCAATATCTTAAAATGTTTTATAACATATATTCTGAGTAGAGAGTGTAACTTTTAGCCGGTTAAAAAACTTTTAACATTAATATGCGAAAAATCACTAAATAGCATTATGAGGTATGTATAAATAAAAGCCATTATACTAATATACCGTAGGTGCCTCTTAATATGATCATGTTGGTCAACGGCATTTTAGATAATATAAATCGAATGATAACATTAAATGGTCAGAAACGATGCCCTTTAAACAGCAGTAGAATTTAACTATTTAATACAAAAACATTAAGAAACATAAAAATGCATACTTTTGCCCCATTTAAATTAAAAAGTCATTAATAGTGGAATGTCTGCATGTGTTAAACAAAAATTCATTTTTGAACTGGGAATTTTAAGAATTATTTGAATGATTCCATACAATTAATCTTCATAATCAGAGGGCATCTCTCATCTCAGAATATGCAGAAAATTCACCTATTTTAATATAATCATCTCCACAATGTTTCTCACATGATGTGATTGGGTATGTTTATAAAAGGGACTGGAAGAGTGCATCCTCGTTAAGCTGCTGGTTACTCCAGCAGATCTTCGTAAAACTTGGAAAGAAAGTCCTTTTCCATGGTTGACTTAATCGAAATGGAGGAAAATACACTAATGTAAGGTTTAAAATTAGACAAAAAGCAATTTTAATATGGCGTAGATTTTTTTCCAGCATTGATTTAACAAAAATAAAAAAAAAACACTACTCCTAACTAATTCTTTTGTCTAATTTTAAATGGTTTATTCAAATAAAAACCAAGCTGTTTGGCAAATTAATCTCTTATTTGGTGACATTTGTGACGTTTGGCAAATTTATAATCTATTATGATCTTAGTCGCAACTTCAGTTTTTGCGAATTTTAATTCAGTTTTAAATAATTCGTTCTATACCGCTTTGCTCACATTCAGTTTCCCATGTTTTTATACACAAATGGGAAGACTTCAGCAATTTGATAACAATATCCGAATGATAACATTAACCGTGATCACATTAAGCAGCGCCTACTGTTGTCAAGTAATAATACTTGATATTTCCATACTTAGCTTAAACAAATACATGCTAGCCTTTAAACAAAGCACTAATATTATAAATTATGATACGCTAATATAGTATTTAAGATTTTTAAATAATAGCCTGGAAAAGAGTGATCTTTGTCTAACCTACTTCAAAATCGACAGATTTTTATTCGAAATCGATTCTAAGCTGAGATTACATTTTTGCTTAATTTTAAACACGACCTTTTGATATTGCATTATCATGCATTAAATTCTAAATTCTGCAACTGTACTTTCATGCTTTAAATAAAGCATTCATATTCTAAGTATTTAAGCATAATTTTTTGAGATTAATGTTGCATTAGTATGTATAACATGTGATTGTATTTTGTATTACTACCTGATTATTCTATAGGGGTTATTCAAATGACATACTGTATCCACTAGCTTCGCACCTAAACTCCAAACAGCTAATACACCGAGTGAAGGCTATTCCGGAAAGTATCCGAATTAAGCTCTAGTAGATATCATTTGTTATGGGTGTCATATCACGGAAACGAGGAAGAAAGTTGTAGCTTTATTTTAAAGAGATATTGGATTATATGAAAAAATAGCTTGTCATCATATTTGAGAAATTTGCGCGAAATAAAGAGATAACTTTACTTTTTTTAGAGCTGAATTCTTTTATTTTACACATTGAGCGATAGTGTTGCGTGAAGAATTTGTCAACCTATATTTCAGAAACTGTAGTTTCCCAGTTTCACCACTGAAGTTTTACCCAAATATTTTGCAAATTTAAATTATTTCATCTCCTCTAACTCAGGATATTACACCGTAAGTGGCTTCGATGCAGAGTAGACTTTATCCAGTGTTTTGACATGTAGCTAAAGGCTTAGTAGAGATCACTATCCCTCTAATTGTAAACAATAACATCATTATAAAAGTGCTCTAAAATGCATTTACAAGAATTAAGTTGTTGACACACACCGGATTTAGCTCGTTATTAAGCCTAGATCAATATAGGATGGCTACCGATGCTTTTAAATCTCTGGGTAGATGCGAAGAACTGAAACAGTTCGCGAAAGGCGATATGAAGTAAACCGCAAATCATGTTTTAAGCCTAAACTGATCCTTCCATTAGCGACTTATCACATCAGTCTTCTTCCTGATATTTTATTCTAAACGTTTAAAAGTTCTACTCTGATCTGACGGTTCAGAAAGAAACTTAATATTACACTTTATACTCCACTCCCATATAATCTTTCGATTAAGTTATGAGGACAAACCTCACACTTGAGTTTCGAACATAGGAATATAGTTTGAAATATATAATAGTTTGAAAACATAGGAATAAAATGAAGCTAGCTTTTGTGTAGTTGGATGACATGATTTAAAGTGTGGTGGAACGCAAACCGATGAAGGTTTACGGTAAACTGTAGTGTTGAAGTTGGATGAATTACGTGTGACCAGAATCTCGAGAAACGGAAGAGAATTGCTCCGTTTTCCGTGCTCTTCAAGTTTGCTCCTCCAAACTAGCCCTTGAGGAAGAACTAAATTATTTAAAAGCAATTGCTATTGACAGGGGCTTTTCACCCAACATTATGCATCAAGCAGTTAAAAAAATTCTCATCTCAACACACTAAAAGGCACTCTTGTTTTAGGAGATTATAAAAATTCTGTTGACGTTCCATTCTTTCCATCAATTAGCTATAAAGTTCCACATATTTTGCAGAAATTTAACTTTCGGGTCGTTTATTCTCCCATGAATAAAATTCCGAGTTCCATACTCAAGGACCCCATTCCGGATATGAATTCCTGGGGTATTTATAGGATTCCTTGCCAGTGTGGTTTAATTTACATTGGCCAAACTAAGAGAGCATTAAAATTTCGCGTCAAAGAACATGAGGCATATGTTAAAAAAAAGGAAACACAGAAGTCTTCTGTTGCCCAACATTGTTGGTCCGAAAATCACACTTTCAATTTTTCTGCTGGCAAAATTATTCAAAAAAAAATCTTCCATTGGAGAACTGAATTTTCTAGAGGCATTTCACATTAAAAAAAATCTTTCTGTTCTAGTTAACGATCCTAATTCCAATCCATCTTTGCCATCGGCTTTTA